TGTGTCTGTAGATCACTTGTAGGGTGTTGGATCCCCTGGTACTAAAGTAATGGAGGGTTGTGAGCCACCATGTGGGTACTGGGAACTGAACTTGGGTCTTCTGGGAGAACACATGCTCACAACCATTGAGCCATCTTTCTAACCCCATGGATTATCTTTAAAAATGGTAGCAATGTTGAATTACTTAGAGAAGTAACTCCTTTTTTAAATTTATGAAATCTTTGCAGTATATATCTTTATCTTTCTGTTTTGGAGAAGCATCAGCATTACTGGGGAGATACACAGGCAGCTATGTAGAGAGGGACCAAAGAAAAAGGGAATGCTGTTGACTCTGGGTGTTTCTTGTCTAGGAGACTGACTGGGTTTTGTAGACTAAAGAGAATCTCCCTCCCACTTCTTTTTCCCTTTCTCTTTCTTACCTTAACTTCCCTCCTACCGTCTTGCTTGTTCTACTTAACCATCCACTGTTTATCCTTTGCTCATATTTTACTACTACATTCTAGGACTAACACATCATAAGCCCTAGAATTTTTTGTTATCCTTCAAATAAACTTCATTTTTTTAGTAGTTCCTGTCTAATTTCATTTAACTGGTATCATATAACTTCATATAACTATAGTCTTCTATGAGTGGCTTATTTTATTGAGGTGTGTTCTTGTTTTTGCCTTGTGTAGACCAGGTTGGTCTTGAACTCACAGAGATCTTCCTGCCTCTGCCTCCAAGACATGCTGCCACACCTGGTGAGTTCTCTTTTTTAAGGTAGGTTCATTTATGATACTCTATGGTGTGTATGACAGTCTTACCTCTTTTATGGTTGAGCAATGATCCATTATTGAATCAACTGTGTCCATTGGTTTGTTGATGGATTTTTTTGGTTGATTACTCTTTATTGGCTATTTTGAATGTTGCTGCTGAAAACTTTCATGTTCTGTTTCAGGAGAGCCAGTGTTATTTTCAAAGAAATTGACAGCTTTTTGTTTGTCGGTTTTTTTTTTCCCCTTTGTTTGGTTTTTTTGAGAAGGGTATCTCTGTGTAGCCCTGGTTGTCTCGGATTGGTCTGTAGATCCGGCAGCCTCAAACTCACAGAAAGCTACCTGCCTCTGAGTGCCTTTGTGTACCATTGCAGCTTTAACATGATAAAGCTTAAGTGGTATCTGTTGTGGCCTATCCTTTTAAAAATCAATATTAGAATATAAATGAGATTCATCTAGAGATGTGTTTTCATACCATATTAATTCTGATACAGAGCACTGTTCTTGAAAGATTAAAACCCTTCCAGTATGAGCAAGAATAAGAACCTTTAGATAGTTGAGGAATTTATTAATGTTTTGGTTAAGCATAGATAATTTTGTTGTCTTCTTTGTGTAGCCTGCACTTACTCTTTTAACCACAAGATGGTGGCCTTCTTCCAGGCAGGCTGATTCAAGGTGGAGTTTTCTTAGGAAAGCAGGGACTGAATTTCATGTTCATGCATATGCACCGCTATTTATTTATTCATTTATTCATTCATTTAGTTCTGTCAGTGGGTCTCACTGTATTGGCCTGGCACTTGCTCAGTAGACCAGGCTGGCCTTGAACTCACAGTATTGGGATTGAACAAAGGCCTGCACCACCACTTCCCGCCCAGAACTATCTCTTTAAAGTTTACAGCTTCAGTAGGAGGACCTGTGGGAGGCAGGAGGGAGAAAGAGGTTGTAATTTGGAGTGGGGATTCGATGGCATGCTGCCTTCTCACAAGGAGGTGTTGATTTGACTGGATATTGTGAGGGTCATGGGTAATCATAGCTGCTCTGATGTCAAGACAACAGTGGCCCGGTCTTGTTCAGAGGAAAGTGTTCTATAAGCTCAGTCCCCTCTAGCTCTTACATTGTATCTGTTTTCTCTTCCATGATGTTTCCTGAGCTTTGGAGAGGGTGAGGTAGATGTATGATTATTTTATCTCTTTTAGGGCTGAGCAGTGGTTCACTCTGTTCCAGCAATAGTCACTTACTCTTGAGCAATTGACCTGTTAGGAATCTCCACAGTAATGCCACTTACTGCAAAAACAAGCTTTCTTGACTGAGGCCTAGAGCAGCAGTAATCTATGCATATGTAAGCATAAATGTTTAGAAGAATTGAAAGCTCTCTTTTGTATAAATCCTTTTAAATAAAGATAAAAAAATTATGTCTGTCTCTGTCTCTCCTTGTGTGTGTGTGTGCATGCACCTCACCCTCACGTGTAGTACCAGAAGAGGGTGTTGCATATTCTGAAGCTTGAGTTCCAGGCAGTTGTGAGCTGCTGACATTGATTTTGGGAGCGAATTTGGGTATCCTGGAAGAGCAGGCAGTGCTGAACCATTGCCACAACTCTTGTATGAACATGTCTGTACCCTTGCATATATAAGTGTGGAAGCAATAAGTCAACATTACTATCTTTCTTTATCACTGTTCACCTAATGAAAAAGAATGTTTTTGAGGCTGGGTCTTTAAGTGAACCTAGAGCTCACCACTTGGCTAGACTGTCTACTTCCCAGCACTAGGATTATAGGTAGGTACTCAGGTTTTTTTTTTTAAAGATTTATTTATTATGTATACAACATTCTACCTCCATGTATGTCCACACACCAGAGAAGGGTGCCAGATCTCATTACAGATGGTTATGACCCATCATGTGGTTGCTGGGAATTGAACTCAGAACCTCTGGAAGAGCAGCTGGTGCTCTTAACCACTGCGCCATCTCTCCAGCCTGGTACTCAGGTTTTTACATGGGTGCTAGGGATTCAAATTCAAGTCCTCATTGTTTACCACACATCTGTCAAATTTGGTTTTTAGTGACTTCAGAAGGTCCTTTTGTCTGCTTTTTCTCACTGCCCCTTGATTGCCTTACCACTTTTTGAATGGTAATCACATACTGGTCTAAATCACTCATTCACTAGGACCTCCTCAACTGGTAAAGATCATATCCTACCATGAGGCTCACAAAGTTGCAAAAGCTCAACATTAGTAGTGAGGTCTGCACTGAACCAGCTTTACTTTTCAGTGACTTAGTGAATCACCAGGCTTGTCATCAAGTGCCTTTGT